TGGGATGGTGAAAGCCAGACCTCAGGAAGCCAGTCAGTCAACTGATGTGTCTTCTGTTGATGAAAGTCAAAATAAGAATGCGGATGCGGGATGTCCGTACAATGTACGAGGATGAGAAAGCTTCCCAAGTAGGCAAATAAAAATAAGAAGATATGGCACAGAAGTGGTGTGAATCTGCGACAGAAGATGGAGTGAATTATATAAAGTATAATTATATTTAATCTAATCCACAATGCTCAAACTTTCCACAGAGTGGATTAGGACTGTCATAACTGTCAGCTGGAGAGTAACTAACTAATCTACTTCGGTCTGGTCCACTAAACTACAACCACAAGTGGCTATCATCATGTCAGCAACAGCATCCAATGATCTGCTGCATTGGGAAACAGTCGTCTCCAAGATTGTGATAGCAAGATTCAAGTCAAAAGACAGAAGGAAAGGTTAGAGTTATCCAATGCGGCCTACGCGCAGACAACTTGGAACAAGAGAAGATGACTGTCTCCAGTGACAACTTTCAACAACAATATTTAGGAGAAAATAGAGATAGAGTGGGTCTACGATGAGGAGAGCGCTGAATGACATTTCTCACCAGGCCATTACGCAAGTGGAATACAGTTGGGAAAAGAACTAGTGGGTTGTCCTAAGGTGAAATGAAGGAGGTCTTACGAGGAGGAAATGAGGATTATCGACAGTCGTGGGTTCATATAAAGAGGAACAGCAAAAAATAGAACATAATGGAGATCGGTTGTTAAAGCCCTATCTTTGTCTCAGAAGCTAAAGGAATAGTAACTTAGCGGTAAGACAAGCGCAACCAGTTAGGTTTGAAAGTCCCCCCCTCACATTATAATTTGAAGAATCTCATGTTTATCTTACTCACTTGTGGGTAAAGAAGTTCTTACTTGGTTGACTGGTGTCATTATTTTATTGAGTCTACCTTTATTTTACTGGCCGGTTTCTATTACCGTATTTACTATCCGTCATATCTTATTGAATCCCAATCGAAGGTATATGATGCATTAGCTGTATAAAGCATGAGTGTTTCAGGGCTAGAATACACACCGGTACTCACTTGACCGGGAATCGATTCCCCGCCAACACTCCCTACATTCACCCAGTCATTATTAATTCTCGAACAGATGGAAGGTAAGGCTAGCAACCTGATTTTAAGGAAGCAAGACAAAAGCTACTGAAGCTTCAACACTGAAAGCATCAAGTTCTATGTTCCACTTAGCAAAGGAATGAAGAAACAAGATAGTATGCATTGAATCACTTCTACTTTCTTTATTTATTTCTGGATTTCACCATGAGTTGACATGGATTTGAGAACCATTTGGAAACTTCAAGGGTACTGACAGTTGTGTTTTCCTGGTTTGAGCGGTCAGTACTCACCAACGGTTTTCAGAACCCATAACCTTCGTAGATCATTCTGGCACTAAGATCCGTTCCAGTGACCAGCCTATGAATTTCAACTTTTACCAATCAACGATATAACGTGACCACTAGCTAATGTTATCGGTGAGTAATTGTTCAATGGTTCTCTAACCATTGTCAGCTCATGATGTAATCTTGAAACCAATCAAAACCTGGCGTTTTTTTATTTTTCATTTGCAGACTCGGTAAAATGCATAGAAATCCTACAGTGATTTAGCTTGACATCAAATAATTTCCTTCAGTTGACCTAAAGTCCTACAAGTGTCTCTCATTGCACATAAGTAAATCAAATAATGACAATCACATTTAATTGAATTCTTAGATTTTCCCGTCGATTGATTGGACCGAAGTGGTTGGTCTCAGGTTGACATGTCGGCTTCTTATGCAGAAGCTTCGACGATGTCTGGGCGTGCGATTAGAATTTAACTGGTGGATGGTGACTAGCAGTGGAATCCAGGATGCGCATTTTGTCACTCACTACGGAATGCAGATACATCTAGATGACAAGTCCCAAATAGGACAGAATTCACATCCTGGATTCCACTGCTAGTCACCATCAACCGACAATCACCTTTGTTTAATAAAACCTAATATTAGATGGTTGAAGGCAATCAGCCACAGAAAGCCTTGGACCTAGGTTTCGTGCTAGTTGACACTCGTCAGCAAGGTGTATCTGCAAGCACCTTGAGGGAAATCATGTCTGAGATTCGAACCCGCGTCACCCAGTGCTACAGTTCGCTGAAAGTTATATCAGAGAGAAAGGTACTTAGTGAAGTCTCTGTTTGTAGATACTGTTTCTGTCTGTCCTTCCCTCGTTCCGTTGGATTCCAGATGGAACACAGAGCTTTACACTTGCGCTTCAAAGCTTCAGTAGCATTAATATTTATTTACAGGACGAGGATGTTAGCCTCACGGACAACCTTCTATAGTTAACCTGCTGACAAGTGCTCAACAGAAGTTTAGGCGCATTCTAGCACTGAAACTTCGACTTACAAATCTGAGTTTTTCTTCTGCATCAGTTATATTGCTGGAAGAGAAACAAGAACACACCAATAATACTTCAGCAAAGACATTAGTGACGAGTAGCAAAATGTCAGTAAAAACAGTATCTGTCTTTTTCCCATCGATTAGAAATGTCGAGCCGACTCCGTGTGTCCCACTAGAAACTTTAGAGAATAATAATAATTCATAGATTCAAATCTCCCTCCAACTATTTCACCTTGACTAGCTAGATAAATTCATTATCCTATTACCTAAGAATGACAAAATATTTGAAAATGCTGAAGAAAATGTATTCCACTGTTGAAAAGACAGAAACCCGCTATTTGAACTAGGAAAGAACAAAACACTGTCGAAGGATTATCTGGATCCATTTTATTTCGTTGGTTCTCATCATCAGCTGCGTACAAACTGAATTCTTTAACAAACTGAAAATAAAATGTGTACAATTTTAACAAACGTTTATCCATTAGCAAGCATATTGTCAGAGCGTCACAGTGAAATAAGGCGTTGCGATTTGAAGGGTGTCCAAAGTGTCACGACATACATATATATTGTTAGACAGAAGTTTTTGAAAAAAGTTAATTAACAGTTGTGTTGTTGGGGTGTAACAAAAGAAAATTAGCAATCGTTACGTAATTAGATAACCTCCCCACTGATACAATCAAAGGTTGAGAAGTACCCCTCACATATTACCTCCAACTGTGTTTACCAATTCACATGTATCTGCCGGAGCAATTACATTGGAAGAACAGAAGGGAGGGCCTCCTTCAGATTCTGCGAACATGTATGAAGGATCATCCAGTTAATGGGACAGAATTGTTTAAGCTCTTCAATCTCCGCCAAACACCTGATTGACACAGGACACCTAGTAGATGTGCTGGAATCATTCAAAAATAATTAACAGACAAAGTACCTCAAGTTTCTCAACTTTGCTGAAGCTATAGCAACAAAACGATTGAAGCCTGACATATGTGTCCCTAAAGAATCCGTTGTTGGACTTCAGTTACCCTGGTGACTCACTTCTTAGTAACTATCTGTTTTCCAATTTTGTTAACTTATCTTTTCACTCCCCCTCCGCCTTGTATTTTTCGCTTGACTCTCTTAAGAGTTAATTTTTCTTGATTTTCTGAGTTCTGCTCACTGTATTATATCATCAACTTCTCATCTCAACTCACGTTCACCGAAACTGTACAAGTTTGATCTTCTCTTATCTAATTACGTAACGATTGCTAATTTTCTTTTGTTACCACCCCAACAACACAACTGTTAATTAACTTTTTTCAAGAAACTTCTGTCTAACAATAAATATGTATGTCGTGACACTTTGGACACCCTGTAATTCTCAACGCCTTGTTTTACTATGACTCTCTGACAATATGCTTGCTAATGTACAAACGTCTTTTAAATTGTACACATTTTATCTTCAATTTATTAAAAAATTCAGTTTTTACGCAGCTGCTGGTGGGGACAACGAAATAAAATGGATCCAGATTATTTGCGCCAATGTTTCTTCATTCTTTGTTCAAATTTATAAAATGGAAACATTGTATGAAACACCTTGTTTGATGACAATCAAAATTTCATGAAATTTTAACTAATTACTTTATCAGTATACTTTTAAATTTTACGTAACATAATGAGTGAAGTTAAAAAGAAAACTAAGGCGAAATAGTTCTTCAGTATTCCCTAGTATTCCAGTAGTTTCCTAGTTGATGAAAGCCTGTAAACCAATACTTGAATAAAAAAGGCATCGGACGTGTCCCCTAGTGAATCATTCTATACAAGAAATCGCCAGGAATTCCAGTGAGAATTTGTGATCAGTGAGGTCCATTCAGGTCAGTTGATGAAAGAACAGTTACTCACCAGTGATATTGACTGGTTCTTGAGTTGAAAAATTAAGAATAAGGAGAAATTTGAATTGGTAGGTGATTGGATCAGAAGGTTTTGAGGTTTTGAAGCCTACCGGATACGTGCTGATGAGGAGTTCCAAAGTCGTTTTTAACATCTGCCTTTCGGCTACCCACCGTAATCAATCAAATCCTTGTGAACCAATATACGAAGACGAAAACGATCTTAACTGAAGATCTTATTTTAATTGAATTTTGGATTATCCCATCGATTGATTGAACCGAAGTGCTCGGTCTCAGGTTGACATGTTGGCTTCTTATGCCGATACTTTGAAAATGTCTGGTCTGGTGGATAAAGCTATGGCGTTTGAAAATAAGGACATTGGGTTCGAGCCTTGGTGGGGGAATGCAGGTACATCCAGTTGAAAGACGAGTCCCAAATAGGACGAAATGCACTGATAGTCACCATCCACCAATGAAGATCCTATTGGTAATACGAGATATTTTATTGGTTTACCCTTTCTGTTTATAATAAAATATGCGAATCATACAATACAGAGACAATTATATGCATGTATCTAGATAACCTTGGATATATCGAAAATAATTAGGCGAATATTTTTCTAATGTTTAAAATAAGCGCCAATAGAACACTTAACGAACGCAATAAAAATGTTATAAAAAGATTGAAACAAAAACAGTAAACGAAAACCATAGGAACGGAAATTTGAGTTCAGCCCATTGGAAAAAATACATAACTATTTTAATTATTTGTATTATTATCACTATTATCCTTATATTATATATTCAGTATTTCATTTTTTCTCGAACAATATTTACCTGATATTCATTTTGGGGCGGGAATTATAAAATTTGAAATATATCAAAAAATACTACTGGATAGGATAATAATTATAGTTTTGATGCTCTGTTGATTTATTTCGGGGAAAGGCAATTACAAATCGATTAGAATGTGTGATGGAAAGGATCCAGGTAGTTCGATTTTATTGTATATTCTTTTAAGTTTGTCAGTCATTGTTTGATTTCGACTTCTATTTGGCGTTTTATTTTTACATGACAAAACTGATTACAGTGAGGTATAATGTGAGAGGACACCGAATGATTTAAGGCGCTTCATAAGTAAATGACACTTATCTAGGGACTATTGTCTCAGCTACAAGAGGAACGGACGATGATGTCAAATCGAGATTCAGGAAGGCGAGAAACACATTCATCAATCTGAAATCAATCTGGATTCTTCGTCACTCAGCCAGCCAGCATCAACAACAAAATTCGGTCGGATTTTCAATACAAACCTGGTCAAGCCAGTCAGCTCTTCTATACGGATCAGAAACTTGACGGGCGAGTCACAAAGAATATTTCCAACAGCCTGTTGCAGATCTTTATTAACAAGTGTCTTCGCTGGATCTATACTGAAAATCAGATGACCGGAAAGAATCACCAACAAAGAACTATGGGAACAAACAAAACAAGAACCAATCGCCCAACAACAACAAATATGCAGGAGAAAGTGGAGATATATTAGACACTCACTCGCTGAGAAGGATGCTGGGTGACATCGCGCGCACGTCAGGCCATTGCCTGAGTGGAACCAGACCGAAAGGGAAGCGGCGGCGAGTGGGTCGTCAGTGCTAGGGTGACATGGAGGAGATGGTGTGAAGAGGAGTTGAAAGAGTATGGACTAACATGGATGGATGCAGGTGAAAAGTACAGCAAAAGGAAGACAGAAGTGGCAAGTGGAGACGTTCAGTTGAAGCCCTATGTTCCACTAGGAACCCAAGGGAACTATAATAATAATAAATAAATGTGTCTTCCTAAGGCATTCCAATTCCATGGATAATTCACATCCAGGAAAAGCATTTCAGCAAAAAGACTCTTTTTGGTGACCATGGTAAATAAAAGGAGTTTCACAAAATTATTCTGAATACATAGTTTGCCCAGGTATATATCTAGCGCTTTAGCTATATAAAATTGGAGGGAACTTTTAGAGTAACTGAGTTTAACCCTGTTGACCAAGACATTCATTTCGTCACCTCATTTCTATCGTCACTGAAAGGCATGTACACGATTCGCAAGGCCAGCTCCTACTCTGTTTGAAGCCAATGGAAGTCCTCATCAAATCCTCATTGAATCCGCAAGAATTTCATGTTTCATTTCTTAAATGTTACACTAACATCAGACTGACTTCAAACCTTACAACTCAGCACCGAATTCTGCCACCAAGCTTCCAAAAGTACATATTTCCACAGTGAAGTTGAATTCGAGAATTTTTGGAAGTAAAGTCATGAAAAGAGATTTCGCGGAATATACCCGTTTGATCATAGGGAATAAATCAGACAGTTGCAGAGAAGAGAATATTTTTTTCGAAGAATTCACCGTCAAATAGGTTGTACATTCGTGTATTTATAATAAATGGGTGGGAAAGTTCCAGAATAATTTCTGGTCAAGGGTCAAATTAATAAAAATTAAAACTAAGAATTAGAATGCCATAATAAACAGGGGGATGGATAAAACTCAAACAAAGTAGCATCATAATTACTGAGAAGATTGACACTGATTGTGCAATAAGGGTTTAGAAATGTACAAGTAACAACAATAGAAAGGATGTTTGGATAAAAAATTTAGTGGGATCACAGCTAATATGACGAATAATTGTTTATGCAATCAGGGATTAAATATGTAGAAATAAAATAACAAAATAGACAGGAAGTTCGGATATGAAAATACGGTAGGGTAAATAGGGATTAAGATAACTTAAAATAACATGAATAAACAGGAAGTTTGAATAAGAAAGTCAATGATTTAATCATTACTAGAATAATTACCTGTTTATGATGGCTTGAAGGATTGGACGTATTTCTTTTCGATACATAGCGTGGGTTCCAGCTTTTGGATGGATAGTGCCTCTGCTACGCCCAGATGTCTTAATTGCACCCCCTTTGATAGGTGTGATCGAATCTTGTACATTATTTTGAAGTATTTTTCGAATGGTGCTGAATGGCCAGATTTCCTGTCACTGAACTGCATACATGTCTTCGATCTCCCTTACTAGCCAGGTTGGATAGTGTCCATGAGCGCGTTTTTCAAATTGGCGCATGGTACGGCTGAAGTGCTCAGCTCCACAAGAGCAAGTTAACTGGTATACGCATGTTGAAGTGGCCCAATGTGACAGTTTTTCTTTCAAGTTCTGATCGAACAGTTTCCCGCAGGAAAACGTGAGTCGTGAGCTCGCGGTGAAGTATGTCTTCCTCAGAGATTTGCAGAGGCGTTTACGAAGGATGTTTGCTTCAATGTCACCTTTACCAGAAATTATTCTGGAACTTTCCTACCCATTTATTACAAATACACGAATATAAAGCTCTGTTTAGTTGATGATTTCGTCGAAAAGAAGGAATTTTCTTCGCTGAAAACTGTCTTTTTATTCCTTATGAAATGGGATTTCTTTACTGACTTATCTGTTCCTAATTGCATGAAATGCGAGTTTTCTATACTCTGTAGACGAATTTGAAAGATAAATTCCCTGACTGAAAATGAAGTTCACCATAGAGAAGGCTTCATCATTTTATGTTTGTTTTTCTTAGTGTAGTTATACTTAGAGAGGTGAATAGTTCAGTTGCGAAGCTTTCAACACTTTTCTAGATAACATGTTCAGTGCATAATTCTGTTTGAAGTAAACGTTTCGAATTTACCATTCATTACTCCTAGTAACCTTGAACATGGTTGGTTGTTTTTGTGTATTTTTCGCACCATCTAGTCCACTTGCATTTGTATGGATTATTTCTTTAGCCTGAAGTTAGACCTCATGTTCATATGGTTTCCTTCTTGTGCATTGGTAAATTTCGTTGATATCATTGTGTCTCTTGACTGACGATTGACTTGAATACCCGGCTTTCAAAAGTTCTCTGGAGCTTTTGGTATTTCTTCCGTCTGATTTGTGGACGCTGTCTCAATCGAATTAACTCCTGTCGTTTTCTGTATGCAATTTCATGGGGGGGGGGTGGAAACTTATCTTTTGACGACCAGTTGCAGGTGATGAACAATTCAATAGTTCTTCAAAGTGATCACCTCATCGTTTTATTTATTTCGCCTTCCTTGTAATCAGGTTCCTTTGAGAAACTTTTATTAGTTTCACCTAGATTATATAAACACTTATATGAATTTATTCTTGTCATTATTATTGTGATCACCTTTATTCATGTCCCTGAACTTTTATCCTATACTTTTTTCACTACATTAAATATGACATTATTTACTTTATCGTTTGATATTAAATCATCGATATAATTTGAAGTGTTATTTGATAAGGATATGATTAGTCAGAGGTATGATCAAGTGTTGATATCAGTCAGATAACCACCGGAAATACTAGGCAGCTGTTTCATTCCAATTTGGGACTCTTCATCAGCACTCATTCACCTAAGTTCTTTGCTTATGAAGTTTCAGTTACCAGACGAGCACATAAACTCTTCGGCCATTGGAATTGAGTTCAATGGAGTATTTATTTCAACTGCTTACATTTCGCTACTTACTAGGCGTCATTACGAACCCGTGTCACTTCCAGGTAACTTTCCTGTTACTTCACTTGATGGATTCAGATGGTTACAACTTCTCAAAAACACTTTATCTCTCTCTCTCTCACACATTGTTATTATAAGTATTCACACCTTTTGTGTTAATTTCCTGATGAAATATAGTTTCTTGAAAGTCATATATGTATATGCTTCTGTCTATACCAAGCAAAATTCTAAGCTGCATAATCCTGGAGAGAATCAAACACGCCCTGAATAAAAATATTCTGACTGGAGCAGGCTAGATTCAGACTGAACAAGTAATGCTTCGATCAAGTCGCAACACTGTTCATCCCCATTGTACAGAGTTTGAAATGGCAGTAAGCTCTCTACCTCAACTTCATCGAATTTGGAAATGTCTTCAACAGCGCAGCGTCGATCGAAAGGTGATTTAGCAACTACATCGCTACTATGGGGTGTCGCCAACATTTATACACCTCATCCAACATTTGTATAACAATGCTGCATGCTAAGTATCCCACAACCGGAAACTCACGGAATCTTTCGAAGTGAAGACGTAAGTAAGACAAGGCTTGCTGGTTGCCTAAAGTCTCCAATGATTATCCAGATTTTGGTAGACTGGATAATGTGACAGACAGCGGCGGGCAGGGAGGAAACAGGCATAAAATGGACCCACACAAAAACTAGGAGGATCTGGACTTCGCCGATGATATTTGTCTGATTTGCCATAAATTGGAAGATATGAAAATAAAAAGCAACAAGTGGGGAGAAAAAGCATCCAAGGAAGATAGACTTAAAGGTGAACAAAGGTGATGAAGATTTATGGCCAACAACAACGGCAACCACAACAACAGACAACAGTCAGCCAGCACAAATGGGAGAAATCTGAAAGATCGGGTCCCAGTGGCTTAATGGTATACGAGCTCGCCTTGTAACCATAAGGTTCCGGGTTCGAATCCCGGTGGGTGCGTACTGCCGAAAAGTCCCAAACTAGAACGAAACAGCTGTCCAGTACTCCCAGGTTTTCCAGTGGTTCTCTAACTGATGTCAGCTCATGATTAAATCCTCCATGAAATCTGAAAGAAGCAACCTCCTTCACCTACAAACCTACATGGGAAGCATCGTTTCAACTACAGGCCGACGGAGCTGATGAGGATATCAAAGCCAGGATCCGGAAAGCAAGACAAGCTTTTATTACTCTCATCAAGTCTGTGTCAAGATCAACAGCACTCAGCATGAAAAATAAGATCCGGATCTTCAACTCCAATGTGAATTCGTGCTACTTACTATGCGGATCAGAGAATTCGCACTGCGCCGCTTCACGAAGGGCACTTCGAACAAACTACAGACCTTCACTAACAGCTGTCTTCATTCAATACTCAAGATCAGATGGCCGGACAGAAAAGACTAGCAACAAGTATCTCTAGCGATGAATGAGCCAACCTAGGAGGAATCGGCTGTGCAAGAAATCTGTTGAAAGAAATTGGAGGTGGATTAGTTAAACTCTGAGAAAACAAACCATCAAGTGTGTTATATCACATGGCAGGCCATCGCTCAAGTGCAGTTCAAATGGGAAGCAACGAGTTGGTCGTCAGTGAGAGGGTGGGATGACATGGAGGAGGTAATGCGAAGAGGAGATGAAAGTGTGTAGTCAGACGTTGGGCCTGGTGCATACGTTTGCGGAGAACTGAACGCAATAATGACGTGTGGCTGAAGACCTATGTTCCTCTAGGAGCTAAAGGAGACAATAATATCATATATATATAAATTTGAGAATAGTTTCGTTGAAAGGGGTAACTTCACTAAATTATTTTTTTCCTAATATTGCAACGGTGACTACCTTATTGTTTTTACTTAAAATTTAACATGAATTAATTACTGTCAGTGAAAGATCCCTAAAACTAACCAAAAATGCTTCTTTTTTTTCATTGATAGAGGAAACTTCCGACTACACCAAAATTGGTTTAAAAGCATATATGGCAGGTATGTGATATCAAAATAATTCTATTTTTTTTAATTTCATTTTTATTTCTGATTACAGCTTGATTCCCCACTGTATTTTTGGTACAAGTATGGAATTTTCAGCATGGATATCGGTAGCCCAAATTTTGCAGGCCAACCATAGATATCAGGTGTGCGTCGGTGTGGGCTCGAACCCCGGACCATGTGCATGGTCGGCGAGAGTCCTAACCACCGTGCCACCGACGCACTTATTCTTATTTCTTATTCAATATTTACTGCTTTATGGAATCCAATGGTATATAAATGTGGTGCTCACTTACGACTGGCCCTATTCAGGTAGATAGATTACCTGGGGTTCTAGTAGGAAGTCGTGACCAGTAAGGTACAGCAGGTAGGGTGTGAAGACAAATACTTGCCAGTGATGACATTAGCTAGCGGTTGCGCTATTTCCTCAAATGGCAGTCAGAAGACGGAATTCATGGATTGGCCATTGGATTGTGTGTCTCAGTGGATTAATGGTCTACGAGCTAGTTCGTCTTGTAGCCAGAAGGTCCTGTGTTCGAAACCTTGGCGGTGGTCTCATATTGATGAAGAGTCCCAAACTAGGATTTAAAAACTGTTTGGCAATATTCCTAAGTGGTTTTCCTGTGATTCTCTAACTGATGTCAGCTCATGGTGAAATCCTGTAACTGATCCCTACAAACCAGAACGTTCTTTTCTTCATTGAACACTGTCTACTTATCCTGTTTGTCTATAACAAACAGTAATACTCATCAATCATTATGAACTGGGAAAATGTTAAGGAAGTTGTTTGTTTCACTTATCTAGACAACACCATTTCAATTGCTGGTGGGAAAGATGAGGATTTCAAAGTTAGGCAAGATCGCAAAAGCAAGACAGACCATTTTCAATGTGAAATTATTGTCGAAATCTACTATAATCAAGACAAAAAAAGGTTCAAGTTTTCAGTACTAAGGTTAAACCACTCAATTTGTCTAAAGGGTTCAGAAACTTGGCATGTCACCCCGAGGATTTTTAAAACAAGCTATTGCAATCCTTTATAAACAGCTGCTTTCGTTGCCTGCATACTGAAGATCGCATAGCTAATTGACCAAAAAAGATAACTAACCAGGTACTCTTCCAGGCAATGAAGAAACCAAGAACCTATCGCCCAACACTCACACTGGAAAAAATTGAGATGAATCAAGCACACGCTGTGTAGACGGTTGATTGTCATCAATCTGTTGGGCGTAATCGGAAAAAGAAACTACTAGGTAGACGTGGGTACGAGTGTGCTACTGAGGCAATTTTGTGAAACGTTAGTTAGAACGTATGACCAACCGTGGAGCAAGCTAAAGAAGACTGCTAAAAACAAGGAGGAATGATGATCTATTGAAGTCCTACGTTCCCATCAGAGCTCAAGGGAGTGTAATTTATTATTGACTAATACATCGAAGGAAATTTTCTTTATCGACAAAATCATCTTCAGAGTCTCTATAGTCGTATGTACACTTACAAAAATATATAGTAGTCTATTATTGAGTAATAGGAGTGACATAAGTGATAGAATTACTCATAATTGGCTTTAGAAGTGGAAATTGAAGGTTGTAAATTACATGGTACTCAATGGCACAAAGATAGAAATTTGATAAGGTTAAAATTGCTCTTGAGTGACAATAAAGGCATTTGAGTGTCAATTTAATAAGTGCGAAGAGGGTGTGAAATGTACAGAACGAGCATATGAGAGTGATAATATTGAATTAATTGTTAAAGCATAAACAAACTAAAAGTTATTGAATTGAATTCTTGATTTTCCCGTCTATTGATTGGACCGAAGTGCTCGCTTTGGCGTTTGAAACTATGGGTACTGGGTTCGAGCCTCGGTGGGGACATCATCACTCACTGAGAAATGCAGGTACATCCAGATGACGAGTCCTAAATAGGACGAAATGTGCATCCTGGATTCCACTGCTAGCCACCATCCACAAATTGTAAACTAAAAGTTATATTAAAAATCAAAAAAGAAAAAATCAAATTTTTTACAGGGAACGATTAGTGAAGAGGTTAAGACCAAGGTAGATAAAGAGACTGGACAAACGTTTCCTGTATACAGACTTCAGGGTTTTATTGATGAATTACCAGCGCCTCCGGTATACACAAAAGCTGAAACCGAACTCCCTTTGTACCATTTGGCTTCACTTTGTAGATAATCTTGAAAGACGAATCTGGTGGAGCTACCTGGCCTGAGTTCACCAAATCCTCGAGAATTGAGCTAGTAATTATCTTACATTGTCGTTTTGCTAATCATGCCGGATAATGTTCAGAGATGCGTTTGGAAAGTGTGCGCCTTGTGTGGGCGGCCAATATAACCAGCTCCACACAAGCAGGTGAGTTCATAAACAGACATTGAGGTGGCCCAAAACGGCAGTTTATCCTTCACACATCCGTTGATCATTTGTCAGCTGTAGAAATTGATACGTAGTTGAGCCAAAAAGAAGGCTTTCCTCAGTGATCTGGATAAGCGATTCTTCAGGATTTCGGCTGCGGTATCACCTTTAAATTCAACACTCATAAATAACAGTTTCTTTAGCACTGTCTGGGTTCTTTCAACACTGTGTGATTTATCAAAATAAAATCTTATCCATAATGGATTCTTTCAGGCTTTTGCTTTAACTTCATGTTTTTCTCGATAAATCTGGGAGTGCATTCATTCTGTATGAGGACTTGTCTGAGCCGACCCAGTTTTCTTCATGACTCCATGGGTATTTTTGGTAAAATTGACTAATACATTCGCAGTAAATGGAATATTTTATTTCTTCGGTTTATGCTTATTGTTATTATTCCTTTGGGTTCCGAATGGAACATAGAGGTACAAGAACACACATCTACTTTCTTCTATTGTCTGCCGTCTTCTTCAGCTGTCTACCTCCACAACTGACCATAATCTCTCATTTTCTCCTCCTTAAACGATCTCCTGCATGTCACCATCACACCGACTAACCACCTATCTTTTCACACTGGGATTCCACTAAAGCAATGGCCCTCACGATGTCATTTGACGGTCTCCATTTCCATTTTCGCCTACATATTTGTTGAGAAAATCGGCTCTCGCCTGTTGGTTTGTCCCACTATAGGGCTGCTTGTTGCTAATTCTTTTAGGCCGGCGGCCGGCTTGCCATTCCATTTTCAGTATGGAGCCAGGGAAGATAGCTGTTTTAATAAAAGTTTGTCATTGTAGAAAATGCTTTTCGTGATATGCCAAGTTTCTGACAATTGTATATTTCTGAATTTTGTCTCCCTTTATAATGCTGAATACATTATTTCAGTTGTCCAGTCTGAGTAATTCCTAGGTGGTATACGTCACTTATGAAATAATTAAGCCCGGGTCAATTAGGCACTGAAGAATGTTCGATGATGGACAGCAGAAGCTTTGCAGGTAAATTAACTAGCTCAGAGAATGCAATTACACCAAAAATATCCACCTGAGCTTCAATTCATAGATGATACGTGCATTAGATATGATGGAGAAGATTTGTAGCTCAGGTGGATGATTTTGATGTAGTTTTGTTCTCTGAGCTGGATGGTTAATTTGCGAAGCTTTCATCACCCTACTGGGTGACATCTTCAACGCATACTTCAAATTGAAATTCCAAAATTGTGTGCCTGTAAACAGAAAGAGTCACCTAAAATACTCTCTTTCCTCGAAGATCCGGAAGAGGTGCACTGAAGAGTCAATCGACGGAGAATTACAAAATCTCCTCAGGACTTTGATTGAAAATGGATTTCCACCCAGATTCATAGACAAGAATCTAAAATCAAAGAAAACACCTGAAAAGGTCCAAGTCGCCCCATAAACATGCTGATGATACTTAACCTCGAATTTAATAGTAATACCGAAGCAAAACTTCTCTATGGACGGCTTTTGAAATCTCTCAGTGGAACATAATTCGTCGTCAGCCTACGAGTAACATTCTCCTGCGAAAAAACTATTTAATGAACGCCTGAAAGACAAGCTGTCACATTGGACCAGTTCAACATGCATAAAGAAGTTCACTTACTCATGCGGAGCATAACATTTGATGGGCTATGAGGAGCTCTATGCAAAATTCCAATAAAGGCTGTAGGTAACTGATGATAGACTGCAGACTGAATTCTACCAATCCAGTTTGCAATGTGGCCACCATACTAGGTGGATTGCCAACGCAGTGCACTGTGAACTGTTGATATTATATAATAAGAGGCAATCAGTAGGAAGCTTCGGATCTAGGTTTCGTGCCAGTTGGCACTTTTCAGCGAGCCGTATTTACATACTTGAAGGAACTCGTATCCCTTCTGAGATTCGTACCAGTCCTACAGTAGGTCAACCGCTAGTCCGAATAGCTCAGTGGTTACATTACTGACTGCAGCATTGGGTGACGTGGGTTTGGATCTCAGGGTTTCTTCAAGGTAGTTGCAGATACCTCTTGTTGACGGGTGCCAACTGGCAAGAAACCTAGGTTCAAGTCTTCATGCGGGTTGACTTCAACCTCTAATACCAGCAATGTACATAGTTTGCCTGGCAGATTACTAATTAAGATGTTTGCATACAGGATTTAGTGACCGTTGTCTGATTAGCAAAAATAGTGTCAGAGACAATGAAGACGCCCCTGTTACATACAACTCAGGCAAAGACAGTTCTTGAAAAGTGTCAAACCAGGACGAAACAGCTTTTCAGTACTCCCAGGTTTTCCAATGGTTCTCTAACTAATGTCAGCTCATGATGAAATCCTGTAACCGACCAACCAAATTCTTACCAACAAATACTTGAATATCAATGAGATGCTCATTGGCGACTGGTCCTATTCAGGTAGGTAGTTACCTGGGGTTCCAGTGGGAAGTCATGACCAGTGGGGTGCAGCAGGTCGGGTGTGAGGGCGAATAGTCGGCAGCGATGACATTGGCTAACGGTTACGCTATATTGTGAATCGGTGGAAGTTAGAATTCATGCTCTGGCCATTGGATTGTGTGTCCCAGTGGCCTAATGGTATACGAGCTCGCCTTGTAACCAGAAGGTTCTGGATTAGAACCCCATTTGGTGCGTACTGATGAAGAGTCCCAAACTAGAACGAAACAGCTGTCCAGTACTCCCAGGTTTTCCAATGGTTCTCTAACTAATGTCAGCACATGATGAAATCCTGTAACCAAAGAATGTTCTGTCATCTACCAGTAAATATGTTTTCATGTTCAAATTAGAAAGTTTGGTGTCTTCTTCAATCTTCTTTTTGAACCAGATTTCTTTTTTAATGTCGGTTCAAAGTAAAAGTTGAAATAATTATTTTTTGGTATTTTTATTATAGCTCGATTCCACATCGTATTTTTTAGTACAAATATAGAATTTCCAACATATGATATCCTAGCCCAAAGTTTGCCCACTGATATCAGATGTGCGTTGGCAGGGGATTGAATCGCGGACTATGCACATAGTCATCGAGAGTCCTAACTGCTGTGTCACTGACGGTGATATCAGTTAGAAAACCACTGATAAACCTGGAAGTACTGGAGAGCTGTTTCGCCCTAGTTCAAGACTCGTCAACAGTACGCACCCACCACAGGTGGTTGGAACCCAGGACCTTCTGGTGACAAGGTGAGCTAACTTGTAGACCATTATTCCACTGGGACCCAATCCAATGGCCAGCCCACGAATCCTAACTTCTGGCATATCACAACATAGTGCGACTGCTAGCCAATGTCATCGCTGCCGAGTGTTTGTCCTCACACCCGACTTGTTTTACCCTACTGGTAACGACTTCCCACTAGAACCCCAGGTAACTACCTACCTGAATACGGCCAGTCACCAGTAAGCATCATGTGAATTTATAAGCATTGGTTTTAGTAGGGATTTAGTTTGATTGGTTTTTTAGTTAATAATAATTAAATGATTTGTCATAATAACTAAAAATTTGTAATTTCTTACAAACCGGTTCATGGTATGTCTCCTATATTTTGTTTGTTTAAAAGCAATTTACGGTGACCATGAAAATCTTGACAAACTATTGGATGAGTTAGATGTAAGTTCTTTTATCTTAGATTGTTGGGTTTTCATTTAAGTTATACGGTGGTACCTATCATCACTTACCTCTGCAAAATCAGTTTCCCCTTAGTACAGTCAGAAAAATTAACTAATGTGCGGTGTTTTGGATAAATTTTTGTCATATATAAATTTTATTTTTCTAAAATATTAGGTTTATTCGTTAAAGTTAAGTACAGAGATTCAATTGTTAGTTATCCCTGAGAAGGTATCACACTTCCTCATAGCAGTCCTTAGTTCTAGGCCAAAGCAATCCTTGGTACAAGAATTCATCGAAATGATTATTGTGAATGTATTCAAGTGATGGTGATAGTCTACAATTGTTGCATATACGTTAACGGCAGCTGCTTATCTTTGTAAAATGATCGCTTCTCTGTCTAGGCATATTTTATTCTATCTTATAAATACATTATCCAAATAGTCGTGAAAAATAAGATCTCGAAGAAATTCACGTTTTTACTTTGAACTCATCTGATCGCTTTTCAGGAACATTGTGACGGTAATTCACTTGGATCGCTATAGTTCACGCTAACCCATTTATTTGTACAGTAAAGCAGCGCTTGTATTCATCCTTGTGATCTTTGAACCACATAGGCCGTTAGTTAACTTTTTTAACTTAAGAATCAAAGTCATTTGACGGAATGTTTCACTATTGCTTCGAGACAGTTAAAAGTCTGTGCTCAACAGACTGCCTTCTTGGTTTCTTCCTTGAGTCGATTGCCAGCGTTACTTGTGTCCCCGTGGTCATCGTTGATAATAGTGATTAAAACAGAGGGTTGAAAAATTTACTAGGTTTAACTGATGGTCAGCAGATATCATCCTGGAAAGAACGTCATTGATATTATATGGTAGGAGGCAATTCGGCAGGAAGCCGTGGCTACCTTATTTGGGTTTCGCACTAGCCGGCGCTCGTCAGCAAGGCGTATCTGCAACCTTGAAGGAACTCATTTCCCTTCTGACATTCTAACCCACGTCAGAGAATTTTGCAGTCAGAGACGTTACAACTGAGGTGTTCAGGCTCGCAACCAACCTTCTGTGAGACTATATTGAATACTTTGATTCGACTTGGTTAATAGAATTCAGTCTGCAAGAAAAAAAAGACTGGACACATTGCACTAGTTACTGACTGGTGTTTAGTCAAAGAAGACCATTACACTATTGGTAAGACGGAGAGTTTAATAATTTGGTAATTTTTATCCCAAGAAGTGAGTTATAAACACTGTGATGACAGATAACGGGAACGATATAACCTTAATCTGAATCCAGAAATCAACAAAATTATAATAGCAATAACTAGGTGTGCATTTTTGTTGAAAGGGGAATACGAGAGACATAAAAGAATGTGGTAATATGCAATAATTATATCTATGAGGGTGTATCGGTGGCGCAGCGGTAGGATGCCCGCCAGTTACCTTGCTACGCCAGTAATAAAACTGGGGGAGGGGGAAGATTGGGCCAGGTGAGGTTAGCAACCTCATCCCGTAAAAATAAACAACACTGCTACCTAAATCTCAAGTCTTTGACTTGAAGCCCTATGTTCCACTGAAAACCTAAAGGAATACCGCAATACCCATGAAGACACTGAACTTGGGCAGGAATGCATAATTAGGACCAAATAATAATGATTCCTACAGTCTCATTAAGTGTTGATTGACGTAATGGACTACATTTGTGGAAGTTGATATTCCCTCGAAATAAGGCTGAAATTACTTTTATTTTATTGTAATGTTAACAATCTACTATTTAGTTCTGTTTGTACTACTTTTCGAAGACTTACTGAGGGTACAGTCTATGTAACTAGTTCCATAGAAATAGCTTATATATATATTTAAAACGAGTAACACACTAATAAAGTAGTATTTAATGAATTCACCCAATTTCGATAACTGACAAATTGATATGATTATGAACAATAAATTGTGTTCGAAACGTCATCCAGTATACAATACTGTTTCACTGTGTGATACATTTAATAAACAAACTAATATGCAATTTCGATAATGTTTTCTGAGAAGCGCTGCTTTGAGAAGAATAAATTTTCTCATATTTTAAGGGACATCTCGCCGAAAACCACAATATTTGGTGAACTCATGAAATCCTTCCTTACTAACTAACATTTTTTGTTTGTTTTTTATAAGATGAAACATGTAATGAATGTTTCCAAGATTGAATATTTCTTGGAATATTTTCGTCTACTTACAATTATATAAGTAGATCATTTGTACCAGTAAATAAAACTATCTGCTTGGTATAAAAAAACACATGTTCACGTGTAGTTCACTTTGTTATTTGGTTCTACGTTAAGTATAGCTTTCTCAACCATCGCTATAAAAAATAGTATCTTAAGATTCCTATCTTGAAAGGATTTCGGCAAAACATATTTCTCAGTAGCTACCTTGGTTTTTGGATACTGGAGATCAGAGAGTCGGTGAGTCGGAAAGTATTAGCAACAAAGAATTCAGGCAATGAACCAATCCAGAACCTATGAACCAACAAATATGTGGAAAGAAATAACAACTGATCAGATAAACACTGACAATGTTGTTGTGAAGCATTACTCTACTCGACATTGAAAAGAACCTAAATAGGACAAAACATGCTGGTTGTGATGATATTTTTCTAAGGAAATGAGAGCTTATGAGCAGTGATGTAGCCAGCAATAAAAGGCTGCGTGATTAATGGCTTAAGAGCAGAAAGCTTACAAGCCGTGCACCTGATTTGAGGCTTTATCCCCAGTAAACTTGATTCTGAACCTCGAAAAACCAACAGAATGCTGAGTAAAGGGGGAAAGTTGAATATGAGGCTGTCAACCCCAACCTATAGAAAAAAATACCTCTGCTGTTGAAACTTAACAGTTCAAGCCTGAAACTCTGTCTTCCACTCGCAAAGGAAGGGAATGAAAAAAAGTTAGCAAGAGAGAATAGACACATTAACAATCCTAAATAAAAGGTAATATATGAAATATGCATTTGGACTATTAATATTGTTAGAGCGACCTACTAAACTAAATGAAATCCTGTCAACGGAAACCAAATAAATCCAACTGTTGCCTAATGTTGATTAACAGTTTCTGATTAGTTATTGAAAATTACAGACAATTAAAGTAGATTAGTTACAGGGCTTCATCATTAGATGATATTGGTTAAAGAAAAAATAGGAAACCTGGAAATACTGTACAGGTGTTTCTATTCTTCTAGCTTGGGACTCTTCAACAGTGCGCACCCACCGCCAAAGTTTATATCCAGAACCTTCCGGCTACAACGTGAACTTGTAGATTATTAAGCGACTGAACCCGATCCAATGGCCAGCCAATGAATCCCAACTTTTGTCTGCCAATTCATGACATAGCGCGACTACTAGCCGATTTCATCGCTGGTGAGTATTTTTCCTCACAACCGACCTGCTGCACCCTACTGGTCACGACGTCACACCAGAACCCTAGGTAATTACCTACCTGAATAAGGCCAGTCGCTAGTGAGCCTTTCATTGTTTTTCAAGTATTGATTTGTAGGGATTTTGTCTGATTGGTTACAGGATTTCATTATGAGCTGACATTAATGTGTTAGGCCACTTTTCCCTAGTTGCCTATTGTTTACCATTTTGGGGTTAAAATCAACGGGTGCTACGTAAGACTTTTAAAAGAGACGCCACATCATCTACTGAGGATAACAGGACTGCTAAAGATCCCTGTGTAGAATGAAATGCATGTCCACCTTTATCAAGTAACATAATGAACTTCCTTCATTACTTACGACAGCCGCTTTTATTAAAAATTTTATGATTATACTTAATTTTTTGAATAATTCAGGTTTCGCTATATGCTGATGAATTAACAGGAATGATGCCTATTCATGCAGCAGCAGCCTGGGGGAATCCAAAATGTATTGAAGTAGGTCTGAGTTGATCTCCTCCTTTTGATGTTTCACAATCTTATGTCATTTCTGTCATGTAATGAATGCACTGCAGAAATATACTTTGTGAAAATTTTCTGAGAAATAAGGACTTTGTGTTTTGAAAGTCATCACTATATTAAAACTGACTTTTATTGTTCCCTAGGGTTCTGAGTGGAACTTTAGGGCTTTACCGGAGAATGGCCGTTCCGTTCTTTCTCCATGCAATCAAATTTAGCTGGCTCCAATACTGACCATACGTTTTTTTAACTAATCGCTACAGCATATTCTGCATGTCAAACCAAGCTCCGACTTTCCGTTCACCATTAAGTTTCAACTCAGCCTCCTGGTGACTGATGATACGCAGTGTTCTCTTCAGCATGTCTCATGTTGATTGACTTGTTACCTGTCAGAGTTCCTTGCTGCTTGTACTCCCAGACAGGTACTCTGATCTTCAGTGTGGAACCATCGAGGGCTGACTTCTTCCTTTTTGGCTGATATAACACAATGTGGTGTTAAGATTTTCAGGTGGATAAGTTTCCGATTAATACATCGTAAAAACACCATAGGTGTAGTTGGCTATCTGGAAAAGTCTGCATTTTCCACTGAGACAGTAAGCTCAGCAGTCGATAAATTCTCAAGCCTTAATAAGTAGGTGAACTTCTGAACTTTTTATCATTAGGTGCCCACAAAAAACAGTGACAAAGTTATTAAAACTAATAAACCAGTTAGAGACAAATTAGTGATTGAAATATTTCGGCTCTATGATCAAACTTTAATGAAGATACGTGGTTGATTCATTCGCGATATCAAAAACGCAAGGTCTGAATGGGATTTTATACATATCAACTCAAAGTTTGTTGAGGGGGTGAAAGACATAAAGGAAAAGGTGTAACCCCCGATGAATTGATAAGGTAATATGTATAAAAAATTGTAGGACTAACATTCAAAGCAAGCGTATGGAGAACACAACTAACAGATATGCATAGAATTCAAAACATCAGAAGTCCCTTCATACAGAGAAGAAACACGAGGAATCTTACGTAAAATTACGTGGTGGTATCATGACTTTTAAAAGCTTTACCAAATCAACTGAAGGGTTTGTTCATCGTTGTGCTATATGTTTGATGCCTACTAATACTAGAGAGGGTAAGCTGATAATTTTAATATTTCGTAGGAACATTTTTTCGCTAGATCGCTTCACTCCTTAACCCAGATTTTGTGTATCTGCAACTAATTGGTGTTGAAACAGGCTGTGAGAGCAGCAGCTGCCGAGATGAAGAATGGCCATGCCTCAACAGTTCAGTGGTACCAGCATTGCAGAGACATCGCATCATGGAAAATAGAGAAAATCACTTGTTTGCTGGGTGGGGAAGACGTTATCTTGCATGTTGATGAAACAGTGCTGGTAAAAAAAGAAATACAACCGTGGTCGCCAGCGAGCGAACAATATTTGGGTAATAGGTTTGTATGACACCTCTCTCCGAAAGGGATTCGTCGAAAGGATAGCAGATAGAAAAACAACTACTCTTATACCTATTATTACCAGACTTGTTAAGCGAGGGTCAATTATACACACGGACTAGTGGAAAGGCTACGATTCGCTGTCATCTCTAGAATATTCAAATGATTTTGTGGATCCCGTTACCAGGACAAATAAAAATTCAATTGAAGGATTTTGGGGCAGGTTGAAAAATAGGACAAGGGCTATAAATGGATCTCAAAAGGATCTCATTTATAGTCATTTGGATGAATATATGTACAGGATATGATGTAACTTCTCCATTGGCAGTCCCATGCTAAACTGGGAGATGTTTCTCTCACATGTTCGAGAAAGATATCCCGTGTAACATTTTTATTCTCTATTTTATGCTTTTTTCCATAAATATACATTTCCATTCATCATATATGCCTCTTTAATGTGACTGGTCTGTTCAAGGTCGTTTGCTGATTGGTTGTTAGTGGTGTCTAAAGTTTAACTTTTCCATAATTTCAAATGTTGAAATTAAGTAGTAGGCCGGGGCCAATTACATTAATGGAGGAGCACAACAGTCTAGTTGACCTTAATAAAATAAAGAATTTAGAAAACATTCCAACTGTCGCACCACATGCAGTTACAAAGAACTATGCAATAGGACAGAAACAAAACAACGGAATTAAGATCTTGTGTACCAGGGTGAGGGGGAGATTGACAACTTATTCTTTCTTTCTATATATATATATATAATCAGCTGAAAACATGTACGACAAGAATGATTCAATACCTGTCCCAGACGTCTGGATAATTCTATTGCTTCTACGACAAATGGGAAGGGAGTAAGGGAACTGTAAAACTTGAATTTCTAATATGTCTGGTAACAGTTGATGATGTGAGTATGGCTAATAAACTTTGTTGAAAATAATATTGTTTCAGTTTGTTTGGGACACTTCAGCAGTGAGCATCCGTGATGTCATAAGAGTGGCTGAATCTAGGACCTTCAAACTACAAGTCGAGTTTGTTTGAAAGAAGGACACTTGGCTGGGGATGGAAAAACCTGTGAATGTTAACCTGCTTTGATTCTGTCTGTTAAATTCATCCCGTAAGTCTTGTGTATGATAAGGATACGCAGTAACTATTTGGTTATTGTTATAACTGCACTGAATTAAAGTAAATCCCCGTCGCCAATTTGTTATAACTGTAGGGAATTGAATGAAGACGTTTTCACCTTATTCTGTCTGCGCCTGAACTAATCTGTCTATCTGCTCGTCGTACCTTCCGACTTAGTAAAGCACGCAAATATCAAAAGACAAAGGCTGGACTGTGACTGTGTATTGAAGTGCAACAACGATAAAGAAAGCCATGGTATTTATACATTTTACAACAATATGGACAGCTAACAGCATTTGAAATAATTTATCTTAATAGCCAATAACAAAGTGCGTGAGAGATGATAATATACCATATGTGCGAGGTTGACAGTCAGTAACAAAATGTGTGGGAATGATAATATACCATATATACAAGATTAACGGTCACTACCAAAATGTGTGAGAATGATAATATACCATATATACAAAATTAGCAGTCACTACCAAAATGTGTGAGAATGACAATATACCATATATACAAGATTAACGGTCACTACCAAAATGTGTGAGAATGATAATATACCATATATACAAAATTAGCAGTCAATACCAAAATGTGTGAGAATGATAACATACCATATATGCAAGTTTAAACGGTCAATACCAAAATATGTGGGATCCTATCAGTTATACAGAGGTGGACTGAAGTCTCTTTATATGTTGATGAAGTCGAATGCCTTTGCATTGTCATTTATTAAATAAGGTATGACATATGTACGTAAATTTCTATTTGTGAAGTGTCTCAACTAGCGATTGCTTTGAAAGAAATATGTGGACACTTCAACTCCGTGACGTTTCTCCTTCATTGGACTGGACAATGGAGTACCTTTCCGTTACTCGGGAACGAAATTTTCAATACCAGCTGACATGCTAGCTCCCAACACTGTCGATTTGACTATGTCTAGGGATCTACAGGGTGTTTTATAGTAGATGATGCATTTCGTCTAGTACGTGATCAGTCAACTAGATGCACCTGAATAACGCAGTGAATGTTGCAGTGGCACTAGGTTGTAAGTGGTTCCAATTCTATGAACAAAGTTGACTCCAAGAACTGAAAACTCTTAGAAAAGTGTTTAAAAGTTTGGATTACTAGATATCTGCCTGCTTGTTGTTGATGAAAATTCACCAGTGGACATTCATGATCTTGTCGGTGATCGACATATGAAATGATGGGTACCGAAACGAGCACATTACAATTCATATATGAAACTTATCATGATTGATGATTTTCAGGTCCCTCCAAATAGTATTGTACAACCATTGATATCATTTGGCTACTGGTATCTGTTGGTGTTTGTTATCTGTTCTCACGAGAAACTGGTCGCAAAACTTTCAGCATTGTTTAGCTATGATAGAGAAGATTTGTAGCTCAGGTGGATGATTTTGATATGATTGTGTTCGTTGAGCTGGATAGTTGATTTGCGAAGTTTTCAACGCCCTACTAGGCCACATCTTCAGCGCATACTTGAATTTGAAGTGAGCTTTTAGGTTTCTCCACGAGTTTATTAATCATCTCTTCTGGTGACCTTGAATGTGATTGGTAGTTTTTGTGTGTTTTCACATCTTCTAGGTCACTTGTATTGGAACTGACTGTTTCATTGACTTGTACTTTGGTCCCTTTGTGTGTGAAGTTTCTTTCTTATTGGTTGATAAATTTTGTCTATCTCGATGTGTCTATTGATTGATGATCCACTGGAATGCCAAGCTGCCTTCTAAAAATTCTCTAGCATTCTTGGTGTTTCCTCTGTCTAATATTTGAACGTTGGTTGTCTCAGTCGAATTGATGTCCGTGGTTGTTTGTATGCACTGAGTGATATGAGGGAGTGGATATCATGTCTTTTGATGGCTAGCTTATGTTCGTGGATACAAAGACGAAGGGGACGCCCACTTTGGCCAATGTAGTGTTTTTCACAGTTGTTACAGTTTATTTTGTAGATGATGTCGGTTTTGTCTTCTTTCGCTGTTGAGTCTTTTGGTTGACATAGAATTGAGTGCAGCGACTTTGTTGGTTTGTGTACGACGTCAATTCCTAAAGGTTTGAAGAGTCTTGTAGTGATTTCTGAGATATCCTTTATATATGGTAAGGCGATTTTCTTTGTGTTTTCCTTGGTGGCTTTTGCTTTGGTAGGTTGGCTTGGACGTATATGTTTTTTGATGAAATTCCGTGAATATCCATCGATTCTTTTGGAAGACGTCTATGAGATACTCTTCTTCAATTTTCCTTAAGATGGGAGTGCTGCAATTTGAGTCCTGGCTGGCCTTCTTGAAAAGTGTTTGTATACAATTCCTTTTGTGTGTTATTGGATTTAGAAAATCAAAACAAGTGATTCAGCGAAGAGACTCTTTTCAACGAATTTATCATCAAGCTGTA